TTTTTTGTAGAGGCAGGGTCTCACTATGTTGCCCAAGTGGGTCTCAAACTCCTAGGCTCAAGCAATTCTCCTGCCTCGGCCTCCCAGAGGGCTGGGATTACATGCGTGAGCCATCACATCTGGCCTCCACCCATCTTAAAAGTCAGAAATAAAAACCAGAGCCCCTCCTTGACCTCCTGGTCCCCTCCAGCTTTATCGCCCCACCTCTCTGCCTGTCTTTATTGCAGAACTCTCCAGGAGTTTATCAGGCTCATGGTCTTCCCTCCTGTCCACACTCCCCCAGCTGCACAATGAGAAGGCCCCATTCCAACTCCCCCGCCTCTTCTGCTGGCTGCTCCTCCTTCCTGTTCTCTGAACACTGGCCCATCCAAGAGCTCAGTCCCAGGCCCTTCACGTCTTGTCCACACTCACCCTGAGAGCTTCCAGACTGTGGCCTTCGTGCCCTGGATGAGCCCCTATGAGTCCCACGGTCTTCCCCAAGCTCCCTCTACCATGCCCACTTGACGTCTCCACCCAATTGAGGAAGGAGTAAGCACCTTTATCAATTTCCTGGGGCTGCAGTAACGCACGGCCGCAAATGTGTGGCTTAAAACAACACAAACATATGCCCTCGCAGTTCTGGAAGCCAGAAGTCTAAAATCAAGGCTGGGCATGGTGGCTTATGCCTATAATCCCAACACTTTGGGAGGCCAAAGCGGGCGGATCACTTGAGGTCAGGAGTTCTAGACCAGCCTGGCCAACGTGGTGAAATACTGTCTCTACTAAAAATACAAAATTAGTTGGGCATGGTGGTGGGCGCCTGTAATCCCAGCTACTCTGGAGGCTGAGGCAGGGGAATCACTTGAACTCGGGAGGCGGAGGTTACGGTGAGCCGAGATTGCACCACTACACTTCAGCCTGGACAGCAGATGAGACTCCTTCTCAAAAAAAGGAAAAAAAAAAAAAGTCTGAAATCAAGGTGTTGGTGAATCTATTCCAATCTACCTTCCAGTAGGATTGCCAGCAGCTTTTGGTGCTCCGTGGCCTGTATAACTGCAACAGGCCAGTCCCTGCCTCCTGTCACTTTGCCACCTTCCCTTTGTGGCACTTCACTTGGCCATCTTATGGAGACAGCAGTCACTGGATTTAGGGCCCACTCTAATCCAATCCTAATCCAATATGACCTCATTTTAACTAACTACATGTGCAAGACCCTATTCCAAACAAGGTCACATTCGTTCTTTATTTTGTTTGATTTTTATAGAGATGGGATCTCACTATATTGTCCAGGCGGGTCTCAAACTTCTGAGCTCAAGTGATCCTCCCACCCTAGCCTCTCAAAATTCTGGGATTATAGGTGTGAACCACCATGGCTGGCTAAGGTCACATCCTGAGGTTCTGAGTGGGCATGAAATTTAAGAGGACACTATTCAACCCAGGACTGCAGCCCAAATGGAACATGTCCTAACTACATCTATCCAGGCCTCCCCTAACACCACCCCCCTTACAGTTCCCATCTCAGGAATTGGCCCCCAAATCCACACAGTTGGCTGGGCATGGTGGCTCACGCCTGTAATCCCAGTGCTTTGGGAGCCTGATACAAGAAGATTGCTTGAGCCCAGGAGTTTGAGACGAGCCTGGACAACATAGCAAGACCCTGTTTCTGCAAAAAATATAAAAAAAATAAGGCAGGCATGGTGGCACATGCTTGTAATCCAAGCACTTTGGGAAGCCAGGGCGGGAGGATTGATTAAGCCCAGGAGTTTGAGACCAGCCTGGGCAACATAGGGAAACCTTGTCTCTACCAACAATGGAAAAATTATCCAGGTATGGTAATGCATACCTATGGTCCCAGCTACTTGGGAGGCTGAAGTGAGAGAATCGCTTGAGCCCGGACAGCTGAGGCTGCAGTGAGCTGTGATCACACCACTGCACTCCAGCCCCGGCAACAAAGCAAGAGCAAGACCTTGTCTCAAAAAATAAAGGCCGGGCGTGGTGGCTCACGTCTGTAATCGCAGCACTTTGGGAGGCCAAGGCGGGCGGATCATGAGGTCAGGAGTTTGAGACCAGCCTGACCAACATAGTGAAACCCCATCTCTACTAAAAATACAAAAAA